CTGTAAATGTATTTGAAATAAATGCCCCAATCAAAAGACACAGGATAGCTGAATGGATAAGAAAACATGACCCACACATATGCTGCCTCCGAGAGACCCATCTCAGAACAAAAGACCTACACAGACTGAACGTAAAGGGATAGAAAAAAAAAATATTCCAAGCAAATGGACAGGAAAAAGAAGCAGGGGTAACAATACTTATTACAGATAAAATAGATATCAAAACAAAGGCCATAAAAAGAGACCCAGAAGGACATTTCATTATACTCAAAGGAAGAATCCATCAATGAGACATAAACAGTGTAAACCTACTTACACACAACATAGGAGCACCCTAATATATAAGTAAAATCTTGGAGGCATTCAAGAAAGATACAGAATGTAACACACTGATAGCAGGGGATTTTAACACCCTACTCTCAAAAATGGATAGATCTCCCAAACGAAATATCAACAAAGATATTGCGGAACGGAACAATGAGTTAGATCAAATGGACTTAACTGAAATATATAGAACCTTCCATAGCAAAGAAGCAAAAGGCACATTCTTTTCAAATGCTCATGGAACATTTCAAAGATAGACCACATGATAGGACACAAAACAAGCCTCAACAAATTCAGGAAAATCTAAATCATAACAAGTGTTTTCTCAGACAACAAGGGCTTGAACCTAGAAAGCAACCTCAAGGAAAAAACTCAAAACACTCAAACTCATGGAGACTGAATAGCACTCTATTAAACAATGAGTGGGTCAATAATGAGATCAAAGTAGAAGCAAAGAATTTCTGGAAAGAAATTAAAATGAACATATAACAGCCCTAAACCTATGGGACACAGTGCAGGCAGTCCTGAGAGGGAAGTTCATAGCAATACAGGACTGCTTCAAAAAGATAAGAACATTTCAAATAAATGACCTACTGTTGCAGCTTCAAGCACTGGAGAAAAAACAACAAACAAAGCCCGGAGCGAGTAGAAAAAAGGAAATACTCAAGATCAGAGCAGAATTGGATGGCATAGAAACGAAAAGAACAATTCAAGATCATCCAATCCAGGAGATGGTTCTTTGAAAAGATAAACAAAATCGACAAGTCTTTAAGAGGACCCATCAAGAAAAAGAGAGGACCAAAATAAATATCAGAAATGAAAGAGGAGAAATAACAACTGATACCACAGAAATACAAAGGAATGTAAGAAAATACTATTAACAATTAATTACATGCCAAGAAATTTGAAAACCTCAATGAAATGGACAAATTTCTAGAAAAGTATAACTTTCCAATACTGAATGGAGAATCAGTAGAAAGCCTGAACAGACTGATAACAGCTGGTGAAAACTGAAGCAGTAATTTAAAACAAAATTCCCAGCATACAAAAGCCCTGGCCCAGGCAGTTTCACAGGAGAATTTTAGAAAATATCAAAGGGAGGGTTAATCCCTGTCTTTCTCAGACGATTCAAAAAATCCAAGAGAGAAGACTCCCACACTCGTTTTATGAGGCCAGCATCATCCTAATCCCAAAACCACATAAAGACACAACGAAGAAAGAAAACTACAGGCCAATATTACTGATGAACATAGATGCTAAAATCCTCAACAAAATATTAGCAAACCATATCCAGCAATACATTACAAAGATCATCCACAATGATTCATCCCAGGGATGCAAGAATAGTTCAGTATTTGCAAATCAATAAACGTAATACATCACATAAACAAAAGGAAAGACAAAAACCACATACATGATCATCTCAATAGATGCAGAAAAAACATTTGATAAGGTACAGCACCCATTTATGATAAAAACACTCAGCACAGTGGGAATAAAGGGGGCATACCTCAACGTAATAAAGACCATATATGGAAAACCTACAGCCAACCTCATACTCAATGGGCAAAAACTAAAAGCTTTCCCACTAAGATCTGGAACAAGACAAGGGTGTCTGGTTTCACCACATCTATTCAGCCTAGAATTGGAAGTCTTAGCCACAGGAATCAGACAAGAAAAAGAAGTAAAAGACATCCAAAGTGGAAAGGAGGACTTAAAACTATCATTGTTTGCAGATGACATGATAGTGTACATGGCAAACCCCATAGACTCCAACAAACCTACTCAACCTAATAAGTGAACTTGGCAAAACACGACACAAAGATCATATTCAGAAATTGAAGGCATTTTTGTACAACAATGAAATATCAGAATCAGAAATCAGGAAAAAATCCCCTTTGCTATAACAACAAGAAAAATAAAGTACCTAGAAATAAACTTAAGAAGGTAAAAGCCCTGTATGAACTATACAACAATGAAGAAGAAATTAAGGAAGATACAAATAAATGGAAGCATATACCGAGTTCATGGATTGGAAGAATTAACATCATTACAATGTCCATCATGCCCAAAGCAATTTACAGATCCAACGCAATCCCTATTAAAATACCAATCGTGTATTGCACAGACATAGAACAAACATTTAAAAAATTTATATGGAACCATGAACTACCCCGAATAGCCACAGAAATTTTGAGAAAGAAAAATAAAGTATGAAGGATCGCAGTACCTGACGTCAAACTATATTACAAGGGCACTGTAATTAAAACAGCCTCATACTGGTGTAAGAACAGACACATAGATCAATTGAACAGACTAGAGAGCCCAGAAATAAACCCATGTCTCTATGGTCAATTAATGTTCAACACAGGGGTCAGAAGAATAAAATCTAGTAAAAGTAGGCTCTTCGACAGATAGTTTTGGGAAATCTCGACAACTACATGCATAAAATTGAAATTTGACCACCAACTTACAGCATACACAAAAATAAACTCAAGATGGATAAAAGCCTTAAATATAAGTCGCAACACCATCAAAGGCCTAGAGGAGAATATAGGCAGACAACTCTACAATATTCCACACAGAAATATTTTCACCAATATGTCCCCTAGAGCAAGGGACTTAAAGGAAAGAATAAACAAATGGGACCTCATTAAAATAAGAAGCTTCTGCGTGGCTAAAGAAAACATCAACAAAATGAAAAGGGAGCCAACTATATGGGAAAATATATTTGCCAATGATATCTCAGTAAAGGGTTTGATCTCCAAAATATATAAAGAACTCCCATGACTCCACTCCAGGAAGACAAACAATCCAATTAAAAAATGGGCAAAGGACCAGGACAGACACTTCTCTAAGGAGGACACACACAGAGCCCCGAGACATTTGAAAGGATGCTGAGCATCACTACTCATCAGATAAATATAAATTAAAACCAGAATGAGATACCACATCACACTGGTCAGAATGGCCATCATAAACAGATCAACAAACAACAGGTGCTGGTGAGGCTGTGGAGAAAAGGGAACCTTAGTACACTGTTGGTGGGAATGCAGACTGGTGCAGTCACTGTGGAAAACAGTTTGGAATTTCCTCAAAAAGCTAAAAATGGAACTGCCTTTTGACCCAGGAATTCCACTGCTGTGACTATACCCTAATAATCCCAAAACACCAATTCAAAAGAATCTATGCACCCCAATATTCATAGCAGCAATTTACAATAGCCAAGTGCTCGAAGCAGGCTAAGTGCCCATCAGTAAATGAGTGGATAAAAAAACTATGGTACATTTACACAATGGAATACTGCGCGGCAGAAAGAGCTACTACTGTCCTCTATAACATGGGTGGAACTGGGGAGCATTTTGCTAAGTGAAATAAGCCAGATGATGAAAGACGAATACCATATGTTCTCACCTATAATTGAAACCTAATTAGCAAAGTAAGCAGGCAAGGAAAATATGACAATCAACATAGAAAGAAAGAAAGGAGAAACCAACAGGGATGGGAGGGAGGGAGGGACAGGGGTATCGGGGATGGGATGGGGAAGGGTCAGATCAAGGAACAGGTGTGAAGGACACCTCGACAAAGCCAAGATGGAGTAGAATTTGGGCGGGGGACATGGGGTTGGGTGAAGCAGCGGAAAGTGGTAGCAGGTAAATGGAGACAAATATATTTGAACAATTAAAAATATTAAATTAAGAGAAATGTCTATATGCAGGCAAGCACATTGCACTTTGATTTGTTTTAAGACCCTTGCTACTAGGGTTTTATTTTCTTTTTTCCTTAAGTATACCAATTTATTTAGGATTTTAAAGTGTCTTGGGTATTTTAAAGTACTTAAGTAATTTTATCACATAGAAATATTCTCAGGAAGCAGTGCTTTGCTAAGAATAGAACCATGATAAAGTCAAAAAACCTTTCTAGAAAGTATTTTTCTGTTATGAATAATTGTTTTCTGTAGTTTTCACAAATGATTTTATAAATTTTGTAGTTTTTATATGCCTGACTGGGATCCATGAAATAACAAAGTAAAATTCCCCATCCAAAGAAACAAAAGCATCAGACATACTGAAGGGCTCTAATTAGTTTTACATTTTCAGAAATAATCATGACTACATACTCCTTTTTATTGGATAGTAATTTCGTAAAATTTTCATAGAATTTTTAATGATTTATGCCTCTCTATGTTTTCTTAGTTAACATTCCACCAAATTACAGCTTTCCAAAGGTTGCAGTACCATGACAATATTAGTATGACAGCAGTTTTGTTTTAAAACTAGAATCAGGGTGAATGTGGCTTTCTTTTAAAAGCTAAAATATATGCTATATGTATAGTTGTATAATACTGATATCCTAAGTTCTAATTAATATGAAATTCTTTTTAAATACATAATCTTTTTTAAAAAATGGAACCTATACAAAAAGATCACATACTGCTAAACAAGATGTTGAAATGACTGGTGTATAATGTTTTTTAAAGCTTTCATTTTTGTCAGCATAAATTTTCTTTATTTTTCATTTCCAGTAGGATTTCACTTTGAGGTTTAATGTATCAAGCCAGTATAAAGTTTTACAATTTAGTAATTTTGGATTCCAAGTCATTTAAGATAAAAATGGAAATGTGAAGTTTACTTAAGAAAATGAATTTTCTTCTGTTACATCTATGTCCTCATAAACTAATTTTCTTCTTCCGTCACACCTAAGTCTTCATCCTCTTCATCATCATCATCTGCTTGTTGATCCTTTCTTAGTTGACAGGTGGACACCTGTCCTGTTCCAGATAAACATTTAGCTGACAAAGATCTCTGAAGAAGCGACTTTGAATTTCCTCTTACAATATCTAAATGAGATGAATAATCTGGTAGATACATAGAATTTTGGGATAATTTTAAGTCTTCTTCTTCGTTAATCTTTTGTATATTTTGATAGGCAGCAGTGTAGACCTCTAAAGCTTTGCCAAGAAATAACATTTCAATAGCGATAAATTCTGAAACTATTGTCTTTATATCCTTTATTTTCTGCTTTTCAAAATTGTTAATAGTTTCCTTCAGGTGATGAGTTTTTGGGGTAGCATCCATCATAGCTCTTTGAAATTCTGTTTCTGCCTGTGAAATAACATGTCGGCCAGATGGGTTTCGCTGACGCATTCTTTCTAACTGAGTTAACTGTTTAGCTTCTCGATTCCTTGCTGTTAATGTTGTTTTGAGGTCATCTTGTTTCATTTTTACAATGGTTCCATAAGCTTTCAATGGTACAACTATTTTGGCTTCAAGTCTTTCAACCTCTACTTGTCGATAATCCTGAAGTTTGGCAAACTCATCAGCAAATTTTTTCAGACCCTGCTTTAAGTTTGGGGTCTCTGTAGAGGCATACACGTTTATTTCATTCACTAGGAGGTCTGCTTTGTCTCGCAGTCTGGCAGCTTTCTGAACATAAGCAGCAAATATTTGGCACAGCTCTCCAAAATGCTTCTCCACATTTACAACAGCATTTTGCAGTTGTCTGGTTTGAGTGTCCCTAGAGAAAAAGATGACACAAAAAATCTTATTAGGGACAAGATGGCTTCATCTTCACGTTAAATTCTAGGCTTGTCTAAAAAAAAAAAAGTGATAAACTTGCTGGAACTGAGAAGAGCCTTTACAACTCACTACTTTCTTTTTTAAATCAAATCTTTATGACAGCCCTGGATGGTGTGGCTCAGTGGACTGAGTGCCAACCTGCAAACCAAAGGATTGCTGGTTCAATTCCCAGTCAGGGCACACGTCTGGGTTGCAGACCAGGTCCCCAGTAGGGAGAGTAAGAGAGGCAACCACACATTGATGTTTCTCTCCCTCTCTTTCTCCCTCCCTTCCCCTCTCTCTAAAATTAAATAAATATTTAAAAACTTGTAGGAAGTTGTAATGAGAGTCAAGTAGCACAATCTTACCCAGATAATTAATGTTTATGTGATATATGCATGTGGCAGAGCCAAAGATAATGAACTCTTAGAGCAACTATCCCATTTCCCCCAATTCCCATAAACTATGTTATTCCTGGTGAGGAAACTAGTTCAATCGAGATCGAATGAGTGCCTACTGTCCATGGACTAATGTTATAGTTGTGTTTGAATTTGTGAGAGTTCAGAATGTTAAGCTTTTTTAAGGTATATTTTATTGATTATGCTATTACAGTTGTCCCATTCTTTTTCTCCCTTTAATCTCCCTCCACCCAGTACCCCTATTCCCTCCAGCATGCCCCACACCTTCATTCATTCCCATGGGTCAAATATATAAGTTCTTTAGCTTGTCCATTTCCTATATTATTCTTAACATCCCCCTGCCTATTTTGTACCTACCAATTATGCTTCTTATTCCTGTACTTTTCCTCCATTCTCACCCTTCTCCAACGCCGCTGATAACCCTCCATGTGACCTCCATTTCTGTTCCTGTTCTGGTTGTTTGCTTAGTTTGTTTTTGTTTTTGTTTTTAAGGTTCAGTTGTTGATAGTTGTGAATTTGTTGTAATTTTACTCTTCATAATTTTGATCTTCTTTCTCTTAGATAATTCCCTTTAATATTTCACATAATAAGGGCTTGGGGATGATGAATCCCTTTACTTTACCTTATCTGGAAAGCACTTTATCTGCCCTTCAATTCTAAATGATAGCATTGCTAGATAGAGTAATCTTGGATGTAGGTCTTTGCTTTTCCTGACTTTAAATACTTCTTTCCAGCCCCTTCTTGCCTGTAAGATTTCTTTTGAGAAATCAGCTGATAGTCTCATGGAAGCTCCCTTGTAGGTAACTGCCTGCTTTTCTCTTGCTGCTTTTAAGAATCTCTCATCTTTAATCTTGGGTAATTTAATTATGGTGTGTGTTGGTGTGTTCCTCTTTGGGACCAACTTCTTTTGGACTCTCTGAGTGTCCTGGACTTACATGTTTACTTCCTTCACCAGATTGGGGAAGTTATCCTTCATTATATTTTCAAATAATTTTCAAATTCTTGCTCTTCCTCTTCTCCTTCTGGCACCCCTATGATTCGCATGTTGGAATGTTTAAAGTTGTCCCAAAGGTTCCTAAGCCTCTCCTCATTTTTTTGAATTCTTGTTTCTTTATTCTGTTCTGGTTGAATGTTTATTTTTCCAAATCATTGATCGAGTTCCAGTTTCCTTCCCTTCACTGTTGGTTCCCTGTATATTTTTCTTTATTTCATTTTGTATAGCCTTCTCTTCTTCCTTTATTTTGTGGCCATACTCAATCATTTCTGTGAGCATCCTGATTACCAGTGTTTTGAACTCTGCATCTGATAGATTGGCTATCTCCTCACCACTTAGTTCTTTTTCTGGAGTTTTGACCTGTTCTTTCATTTGGGCCATATTTCTTTGGTGCATCTCATATTTTGTAATGGGGTGGAGCCTTAGGTATTCACTAGAGTGGAGCAACCCACTTCACTGCATTGTGGCACTGTATGTGGGAGTAAACAGTGTCCATTGCTCAGTTCTCACCCCGCTTTCAAGAGACTGACAATTTCTCCCACCACCATAACCCCCACAGGTTTTTACAGCCAGAGGTTCTGATGCTTTATTTTCACAGGTCTGGAACCCTGGTTTGCATGGTCTGTCTCACTGCCCTATTGTTCCTCCCAATTTATCCACACGTGAATTTCAGACAGTCCAGTCTACTAGCTGCTGCCTTGCTGCACATCCTCTCTGCCCCAGCTGTCTGTCTCTGCCCCTCCTACCAGTCTGAATGTTTCTCCTTTAATTCCTTGGTTGTTAGACTTCCATACAGTTCAATTTCCTGGCAGTTCTGGTTGCTTTTTGTTTTTAAATTGGTCGTTTCCTTCCTTTGTTTATGCAAGGAGGCAAAGTGTATCTACCTATGCCTCCATCTTGACCAGGACTCCTAGAATGTTAAGCTTTTGGTTGTGATTTGGGAGGGGGAGAAATACAAGCAAGCCACTATGACCATCACACAACTGAATTGTCCAACTAGAGAGCAAGGGGTTAGGACTGATGACCATCTACACTTAGTTCCTCCAACCTAGCCTAAGAGCAGAGAGTTGAACACAAGCCTTTGAGGGAAGCCACACTTGAAAAGTAGGAGGAAATTCAAATAGCAAAGTAAACCTGAAAGAGCAGTAAAAGGCAAGAGAAGTAGGATATTACAAGGTCAAAACAAAGAACAAAACAAAAATCTTAAATGGCAACAACTGTAGTGAGTTCAGAAAAGAAAATTTGTAAAATGTGATTTGATTAGGAGCAAGTTAGCAGTGGTTTCTGAGGTTAGGTGGTTTCTAACTGGGCAGGTGGTTTCTATGGTCACTTATGTGGAGTGAGATATTTAGATGAACAATTTATTTCACACAGAACACAAGGAGTCGTTATAATTACATTCACTCACTCATTAATTCATTTAACATTTTCTGTGTTCTTACAAGTGCCTAACTCTACTAAGTTCCATGGAGTAGATACGTCTCATAGAAAAGCCATAATTAAGTCATTATGGTTTCTCTCTCACAAGGAATCTGGGCAAATTTGTAGATGACTTTAAAATGTTAGTCTCCTTTCCCTGTAGCTGTTTTAGTTGATGTATTCTTTTCTTAAATATTAGCCTTTTGTTTTCTTTTTTGAATTTAAAAAAAAGTTGAGTTTGCCACTTCACAAAGTTTGCTGCCACAAAAGGCAGAAAATTTAAAAAATAAACCTCAATATACTTTATGTATGCTAAGGAAAATCAGAGATAGTAGAGATAGTATTTATTCTGTGTTAGAGTGTTTTTCTACAAGTACAAAAAAACCCACACAGAATAATCCAAAGGAACCATAATTCCCTCATTTTCATAAAAAATGCATATATTATTTTACTTCTCATAATTTAATCGGTTGTTTTGGCTGCATCACTGGCAAAGTACCAACTTGGATTCTGGCAGGAGGTTAAATACATCGTGTCTCAAAGAATACTGTGTGAGCTCTCAGGAAAAACAGAAATGGCATTTATACTTTGTATTAGGTATTTATTTCCATAAAACTTTGGTGCCTACAACACACACCCAACCATTTACAGGAATAGGCCAAAGCACCCAACCATTTACAAGAATAGGCCAAAGCTGCCAAAATTTTCCCAATTCCAAGATTTCCATAGGTAAGAAAACATACTCATGGAGCTCTGCTTCTCAAAGTGGAGTTGAGAGCTGCCTTGCAGGAAGCAAACTGGTGCCTGGAGTGAGGCAACCTACATACCTTTTGCACATCAAAGGAGGAGGTGAATTTTACGGACAAGTATGCATATGCACACGGTGCCTATAAGGGACATCTGTAACTAAACAATAAAATAAACCTACCTTAAAAATAAATACATCAACCCACCTTAAGGGTGATGTGTAGTGTTTTTTGCTTTCTACTTTCCATATTTTTATCTTTTTTATAATGAGAGAAAGCTCATCTTAAAAAAACTACCTAAAGAAAACTTTAAAAGGCTTTTCTTTGTCATCTTAGTTAAAAATACCTATTGGAAAATTGCTCTAATTATCCTTTAAATATTTTCTTCTTTAGCTTCATTCTTTCTGTCAACCAACAGGTTTTGGCAGCAACTCAACACCAACAGGAAACCCCAGTTTGGGTTGTGGTGGTGAAGGAAACTTTATTCAGTGAGAACAGTTCAATTGTGTGAACAGCATGGCCAGCACGGCTTTGGAACAGCTCAATAGTGTTACAGCTCAATTATGAAACAGCACAGCTGTGGAACAACATAACTATGAGATGGCTGTGGGACGAGGTAGCCCTGGGGCAAGGCAGCGCTGGGTTGAGGTTCCTCTCCAGCTAGACCACTCTGCTCTGTCCTGTCTGCTCCTTCCTGCTCTTATGATGTCTTCAGTGTTTCAGCTACAGCTAGGGAAATGGAGTCTTTGGTCTTCAGTGGAAAGGGAAAGTATGCTCTCTGAGCCAGAGGGGAGCTGACATAGAGACATAAGTCCCCATTCCTGGCCCCTTACTGGTCTGTCGTCATGCAAATACAGACTCTTAATCCTTGCTGTTTGATTGGTCTAAAAGGCACTGTTCTGATTGATCATAATGGAGCTGCTCTGATTGGTCAGTAAAGGTGCTGATGGCGATATAGCCGTACAGCTCTGACTGGACAGGGTTGAAATACAATTCCAGAAACTCTTTTATAAGAGCTTGTTCAGATGTCAAGTGTAAGCAGGCAATTCAGTACAGGCTTCTCCCTGAAGTATGGTTTGCATGAGACGTCCATTTAGAAACAGCCTCTAGGCTCTGCTTTTAAATTTGAACCTGGTTAGACACAAGGAGCTACCAGTTGGTATCTTCTTTCTCGGTGTCCATGATTCCAGTAGTCATAAAAACCTAATTTACAGCATTTCGGGAGCCACTAGTTTTCAACTGTTTTATCACTTTACCTTATATCAAAAGTCACCACATCAAATGTTTTAATGAACAATATCCTCGTTCTGCAGTAACTCAAGCATTTAAAAACATGAACTTGAAAGTTATTTTTTCTGTTATTTAACTAGTAGTTTTTTTCCACTTTGTAACTGTGATTGACTCACTCCTTTACCATCAAGGACTGTGAGGATGTGTAGCCTCAGAGATAAGCTAGGTTCTAATGGATGTACAAAGAAACCCAAAACCAAAGAATACCATTTATACTCAAGTTTTAATAGATTTTTTATTACCCTGAAGGTACTGGTTAAATCTTTCCAACTTCTTAATGCAAACTACAAAATAAAAAAGTCTGATTTCTGGGAGAATGCCAAGGATTTCCTATTTCATAACAAGGAATGTAATCCTTTCACAGGGAATAGGTTTTTATAAACAGAGACATTATTTGTGTGTGGTTTTATTATTTTTTATTAAATTTATTGGTGTGATATTGGTTAATATCATATAGGGTTTGAGTAGAATATCGTGGTAAGTGAAATAAGTCAGACAGAAAAGGTAAAGAACCATACAATTTCACTGATATGTGGGACATAAAACAGAAAGCAATAAACAAACAAAAACTCATAGACACAGACAACAGTATATGCATTTTTTAATCCTTGGGGATATGTTTATTGATTTTAGAGAGGGAGGAAGGAAGAAAGGCATAAAGAAACATCTACCTGTTGCCTCCCATACCTGCTCCCACCAGGGATCAGATTTGCAAACTACGTATGTTCCCTGACCGGGAATCAAACCTGCAAACTTTTGGTGTATGGGACAACATTCCAACCAAATGAGTCACCCAGCCAGGGCTGGACATTAATTTGTTTTAAAGAGGGAGTCCATAGCTCAGGTTTATATTTCATATCTAAAATTATACTCCAAGCAGAAATATGGAGCTTAGCTTTCTCAGTGAAGTTTAATAGTTGACCACAATATTGACAATTAAGTCATATCAACCAGCTAAGGAAATACCAGCTAAATAAAGCTAATGAAAATCAGTTGCTTTAAATTTCTCAGGAAAACACAGTAATTCCAACATCATTAATCAGAACCTTTCAAATGATAGAAGAAATATAAACATCAATATAAAAACCTTAACCTGGAGGCAAAGAAATGTAAACTGTAAGTGTGCTATTATCTTATATGTCACAGACCACTGAGTCTTGGGTACCTTTGGTCAAAGACCCTTACTCCCATCTGGCAACTCTGATGTGCTTCATCCAACTGCTGGCTGGAACTAAATTACACAATGTCACTCTCTGCCTATCAGCAGAACAGAGAGTAAGCAAAACATTTTAACTTCTTGATGCAAATTATGCAATCAAAGCACATAAACTTAACTGAGAAGGGGCTAATTTGAAGGGGGTCAATTTCCCATTTTACAACAGTATATCAAAATATAAAATCTAGCAGCCTTCAAAACCCCTACACTCAGAAAAACAAAAACCAAGAGGAATACAGCATTGTTTCATTTACAATTTACTAGCTCTTCCAGCGTTTTGGAGTGATAAGGGAGTTTCATGATCTTACATGATGAGTGGGACAAAAGGCAGACTTACAACATATAGAACAAATGTCTAGACTGAATCAGACTATTAGTGTAGTTTCTTGGTCTATGGGTAATGAGTCAGTTTTCCAACCAAGCAATCCAGTAGTTCACAGTGGGGAATAAAAATGTCCTAAAATTAAAGAAAAAAAAGTTAATTTACTGGTAACCCAAATTTCAGTATCTGTATTCACTTGCACACATTCTAATCTATTCCACTAATGAAGACCTTCATGTGTTCCCAGTCAGGAGTTCTATTAAAATGTGAAGCATACCCTATGGATTAATTCAGCCAGCAACAGCCCTCAAATACTGAAGTTATTGAAACACATGTTTCCCCAAAACCTAGTTCCTGCTTAGGCTAGATGAGTTTATAGGTCTAATAATAGCCCACCAGATGACTATAATTATGAGAACTAAGTCACAGACTAGGGGAAATGCCACTATTGGTCAAGAGCAGAGTGTACTTGCCAAGGAACCCCATTTTTCTTCACTCTAGGTTAAAATGTGTTAGAAACTGGACCACTTAGGATCTTGAGGCTGGAGATATATAGGTAAACCTGAAAAGGCTCATCTGTCTTTTTTGGCCATGCCTTGTATTTACAGACCTGAGCTGCCTATGTGGGACTAACACAGGACCAGTAAGATTTGAAGACACTACTGGACAGACCTTATGGCAAACTTACCCCATCCATCATATATGCAAGCTGAAGCAAACACCAAGACTGACAGAGCTGAGGACCAAAATGAACATACCTTAAAGTTGGAGAGGAGTAAGCCATGTAATGTCGGTTACACTATCTCATACTGGTTATTTGTTATAGCACGAGAGAGGCAGTAGGCAAGAAAGACTCCGATAAGCTGGAAATAAAATATGAGCTAAATTAAATACACACAGCAAACAGCTTAAAGAACTCAGGGTACAGGTATAGTCTCCTTCACTTCTAATTCACTAATGATTTCCTTCCTGAAGTTTTACCAGACAGCTATGTTTGCTACTCTACTGCACCTAGATCACATTCAAACAGAGGAAATGCAGTTTTACTATTACTGTGACCTGAAATTTCACAACTGTCACTGACAAAAATCTCTCAAGGAAAATTCTAAATGTCACAAGTTTGAGGAAACTTTTCTTACTCTTCCTCTCAGTTATCAAAACAAAAACAGTGTGGCTTAGAATAAGCATCTCATCAAGTAAAATCTCCATCTGCGAGGAGAGATATTTTCTTGGAGGGTCTAGAGAGTGGTGCAATGCTGGCAATGTTCTGTAATACCTCTCCTGTACAATGAGGTTTCCACTAACCACTTGTGGCTTTTCAGCATTTCAAATAGGTCTTAGAGTAACTGAGGAAACAAATTTTAAATTTCATTTAATAAATATAACCTTTCAAAGGTGGTTAGTGGCCATTTTATTAGTGCAGATTCAGACATAGCTACACCTGCTACTTTAGAAATATGTTAAGATTAGACTTTATCAAAGCATTTTTAGTCTTACCTTCACAATGTTTAATTGGAAAAACTCCATCCTCTAAATATATTGTCTACAGCCATAATATAGGCATTTCATGCTACAGTGAGACATAGCAAAACTCAATACAATTTGATCCACAACATAGCATCCAACCAAAATAATAGGCACATATTGAGTGTGGGGTTATATGATCTAAATTTTAATAGGCTAGGACTTATATGCAACTCATCAGGCAGTTGCAGTTCAGGGGGGAAAAAAGATTCTATTAATGTTTTAGAATCTTGACTGAGTACAGAGCAAGCAAGGTTCTCATCTATCTCATGATTTGTTTAATGAATTGAGATGTTGAAAAGTTGCCACAACTAAGAGGGTGCTAGGTCTTTCTATAATTAACTGCTTTAAAAATATATATACTGCTAGAAGTTAATTTTAAGCCTTGCTTTTTGTAGTTTCAAGGCATGACTGGCTATGGAAAAAATAACAGATTAAATGGGAATAAAAACTTAGAGAACTACATAATTAGGGAAAATAATATGGAAAAATATAAGATCCGAGACATCAAAAGTTTGAAGTGAAAACAACAAAATATTCCCTCTCAAATAAGCTAAATAAAGACCCAATCACAAATGATTCACTATATGTTTCATATACAAAATAAAAGTTTTCTAGGAGGAGAATCAAGATGGCGGAGGAGTGAGTGGAAGTCACACTGACCATCCTGTAATCCCAGAACCAACCTGGAATTACAACTAAATTGTGGAGAAATCACTTGGAACAAACAACTGAACAATAGTGAGAGAGGAGCCTTGTAACCGCAGAGACAGAAGAACAGGCTTTAGAGCAATCTAACTGGTAAAGAGTGCGGTACAGACCTCAGAAGGTGGGCCGGGAGCCCAGGGTCAGGGCGCTCACTGGCGGCAGCACCAGAAGAATATTAAAACAGCCAGTTGGATCCCCCGGGGAAGAGTGAGGTCTAAGCCAAAAGTGGGGATCTCTAGCCCACAGCACCAGAGCCCAAAAAGTACACAGAAAACACCCAGCTGCAAAAAGCGGCAGGGTTGCTCTCTGCCAGAGACAGGAGGCTGGAGAAGCTAAGAGCCTTCTATTGGGCCAATGCAAAATTTTTATTTGCAGCCACTTACCCTGGTCTCCAGCAAAGGTGGGGATAGAGTGGGCTGGACACACTGAGGAGAGACTGGGGAAGGAGGCTTTGGGGAGAGAACTGAGAGAGTAGCTGGTGGGATCTGGGTGCTGACTTATCCCTCATGCAGCAGCAGCCACTTTGCTAAGGAAGAGACCACTCCCCCTGAGCAGCACCAGAGTCAAAGGACCCAAGAGCCCCACCCCCAAGTAGGATTCCACCCCGCCCTATTCTGTCTAAGCTGCCTGCTAAGCGCAGGCTGGCACCGCCAGAAAGTAGATCCCAGGCTAAAGAGGGTGCAGAGAGGTCTGGCGACACTTGAGGAGATACTGGGGATGGAGGCTTTGGGGAGAGAACAGAGAGAGTAGCCAGCGAGATCCCAATGCCGACTCCTCCCCCGTAGGGTAGGGCAGCAGCTTGAGAAGACCCAATAAACCTGCCCCCCAGGAGGTACTCTGCCCTGCCCTGAGCTTTCTAAGGCACACTGCTGAGTGCAGAGTGAATAGATTAACAGCTGAAGGAGACAGCCACAAACAATAGATTCCTGGAAGCCTCGAACAGACTGCATAAGGTCAGACAGTCAACATCTGACATTATCAGACGCAGATCCAGAAAGAAAAAACAGTGATCTCCAACCATAGAAGTTCACACCACAAAGCCAGGAAATCAAGACAGATCAAACTAAGATGCAGAAGCGAAAGAGAAGAGTCTCACAAATAATGGGAAGACAAATATGCCCCACTCGAAGGGAAAGGAAGAATGCCCACAAAGAGAACTAAATGAAACAGAGGCAAGTAAACTATCAGATACTGAGTTCCAAACAACAGCTGTAAGGAAGCTCAATGAGCTCAGTGAGCTCAGAATTACCAAAAACTGCAGGGAAACTGCAAAGAACTTACTGCAAACTATATCAGCATGAAAAAGGACATAGAAACTATCAATAAGAGACAAGAGGAAATGAAGAATACAACTTCTGAACTGAAGAACACAGTAGAAGGAATCAAAAGCAGGCTAGTTGAAGATGAGGACCAAATCAGAGAGCTGGAGGACAAGGTAGAAAAAAAGCTTTCAGAAAGAGCAAGAAAATGAAAAATGACTGAAAAAGAATGAAGAGGCATATAGAGAAATTCAGGACAACTTGAAACGTAATAATATCTGTATAATAGGGATACCAGAAGGAGAAGAGGATGAGAAAGGGATAGAGGACCTGTTTGAAAAAGTAATGATGGAAAACTTCCCTTATTGGAGGAGAGAAAAATAACACAAGCCCAGGTAGCACAGAGCGTCCCATTCAAGAGGAACCCAATGAGGCCCAACCCAGGTCACATCATCATTAAAATTGCAAACCTCAAAGACAAACAGATAATCCTAAAGCAAGCAAGGGAGAAAGAGTAACATATAAGGGAGCCCCGATATGGTTAGCAGCTGACTTCTCAACAGAAACCCTGCAAGCCTGAAGGGAATGGCAAGAAGTATTCTACGTCATGAAAAGCAAAGGCCTGCAACCAAGACTGCTCTACCCAGCAAGGCTCTCAATGAAAATGAAAGGCGAAATAAGGAGTTTTCCAGACAAAAGAAGGCTAAAAAAATACACCTCCACCCAACCAGCACTGCAAAATATGCTAAAGGGACTTCTTTAAGATGAAGAAAAAGTTTCTATGAATACCCAGTTCCTTTGAGAGTTACCAATACTTGATATTACCAATATTTTTAATACTCATTAATCTGATCATGACAATGATGTTATTTTACTTGTTCCTTTACTATTTGTTGAAACTAAACCTGTTTTAGCATATTTCTTGCCTATTTCTTTTTTTTTTAATAAAAAGCTTTAAATGACTTTTTGGTATTCCTTACCCATTTATTGATTAAAAGTTTGTAGAACATTTTTCCCTAAAAAAAAAAAAAAAAAGAAAAAAGAAACAAAAAACCTCTTAACCATGTTTTAGATGTGTTGCAAATAGTTTTCTATTTTATTCCTCTCCTTTATCTTTTTTATATGTATATTAGTATACAGTTAAATATTTAATATAGTCATATTGTCAATATTTACTTTATAGCTTTTAGTGTTGAATATTTTACTTCACGTCATGAAAAATACTAGTTTTTTCTTCTAAATCTCCTTAGATTCTTCATATTGGTTTTTAACTCACCTGAATATTTCTTGTATAATGTGTGAAACAAGGCTCTATATTTCTTTTATTTCAAGTAATAGTGGTCCATGCACCTTATTTATTGAATAAGCCTTATTTTACCCATTGATTTAAAATATCAACTTAATCATACATATATTAATCAGATATATATATTTGTCTCTAGAATGTTCATTATATTTCATTGATCTACTTGATTATTTCTGTGCTGGTGTCATGTTGGTTTAATTGCTGAGACTTTATAATGGTTTTAATTTTTTAAAAATATTTTATAATTAACTTCGATTTTAAAAAATAAATAAAATCACTCTACCTTTAAGAAAGAAAGAGAGAGAGAGAGAGATGGAACTCCCACTTTTTGCGACAACATGGATGGAACTGGAGAATATTAAGTTAAGTGAAGTAAGCCAGTTGATGAAAGAAAATTACCATATGATCTCACCTATAAGTGCACTCTATTCAACAAAATAAACCATAGGCACAGAGACATGGAGCAGACTGAAAGTGACCAGAGGGGAAGGGGAAAGAGGACAATGGTGGAAAGAAGGGGAAGGCACTAGACAAAGAACATGTATGAATGGCCCTTGGACATGGACAACAGAGTGGGAACTGACTGTGGGAGTGGGGGGTTGTCGTGGGATGGATGGAGGGGTTTAAAGAGGGAAAAATTGAGACAACTGTAATAGAATAAACATGATTTATAAATAAATAAATTAATAATAATAATAAAGTATTTCTATACTGTGATGAGCAATTGAGAGTTTTGTGAAAATGTAACTCTTCTGAAAAGCTCCATACTATCCAGGTCCCTGAAGCAGAAACTTAAAGCCTTCAAAGAAGAAATCTTCTAGCTGACACCTATAAAAGTGATGAAATATTTCATAACTACAAAGACTTACCTGAAAGCAAGCAACTCCAAAGGAAATTCCGGCAACAACTCCCATTTCTGATTCTATAATGGTCATTACCTTTATAAAACAACCCTAATGGGAGAGAAAAGAAACCATTAAATACAGTACAAGCAATAATATTTGGTTCATACATCTCTGCAGAAAGATGAGCTTTAGCTACGTTAGCCTTTGCCATTTTATTAAAATTTACTTTCATGTACCAAATCCTGTCTCCGCATGGGGGTTTTGACAGAAGTTTGAGAAACATAAGTTTCACCTTTTAGATTATACATTTAAAAAGTGTTTCTCACTAGTTGTATGAGCTCAAGTTACAAATTTTCTGAGTTTCAGTTTCCTAATTTACTCAATGAGAATAATACCTGCCCTATTTCAGATTATATGTATTGAGTAAAAATTAAAAATTGAGGCAACTCTGTATTCAGTTAATATCTTCAAAAGAATTTTGAAAGCTCCTTACTTCATTGTTTACTTTATCGGGATCTCTCTGAGGAGAACAATCTTCAAGTTTACAGCAGCTCTTGGGAAATCCTTTTTCTAAGTAATAATTAGTGTCCTTCCAATCTTCAAAGTTGGTGGCACCACAACAATGCAACTGAAAAATCCCAACAAAAACACTGATACATCACATTACAACTTTGTAGTCAAACATTAAACCTATCATCTTAGATTACAATTTGTGTTCAAAACATTTATTATATCTAATGATATTTTGTGTGGCTGCCCTCAATTATAATTCAAACACCAAATGTTTCTAATATTTTTGGGTTAGCATTACTTTCTTGCTATTGTTGGTGCTAACAAAACTTGGATCACGATGTCAGCAGGAAGCAAAGAGTTGTGCATGTGAGGAGAATGATTAAGAGAAAAATGCAGATATGTCCCTTAGTATCGTCACACTATTCTTTCCACAGACATGTCTCCATTCTCTCCTAATATAAGATTATAATGAGAGTATAGGAAAAGTAGACAATGTCTACTAGCCAAGGCCCTATCCTCTTCTCTGAGGGGACAGGAAATGTGTTCCCCTCTTTCATAGACACCAACTATGACCACGTACCGTATTTTGAATCTTGTCTACTGCATCGCTTCTATAATCTCCCGTAGCATTATACTGCTTTAAAGCTTTCTCATAATTACTCTTAAAGCTGTTCTTAATCTACAGCAAAGAAACAGAAGGCCAGTAAACAAACATTCTAGAAAAGTTCTTTTGATTTCTAGGTCAAATAAGAAATTCCAACAGCTGCCAATGGTCATTTCTTTGACAGCAGCAATATGCATGGTAATTAACTTCTATGGTCCAATCCTGTCCTCCAAAGGATATAGATTAGCTGAGCAGAATACTAAGCAAAACACTGCAATAAAAGATGATAACCACTACAAGTTCAAAGTGCTATGGGAGCATGTATTTATTCAAGTGGCAGCTCTGTACTGAGGTATCCTCCACCCTTCGATCTTTATCCACTTTAAACAGTACAAACTTGATGTCTATGGAATTTTTAACTGCCTATGGAAGTTACAAAACCTTACTTTGCAAGACTGTACTACTGCTTTGTGAAACACTCTCGTTGAAGAGCCTTCACTACTCACTCAATCATTTCCTAACCCTAAGCTTACCAGAGTGGAACCCTGATTTCTAATTCAATATTAAGATTTTCATGATTTGCATTACGTATATCTAATCTTTTCTGTGTGGTGTAAGTGGAAAAGGTATCAGTTTTGTGCTTTAAATAGCTTCCTATCAAAGTTATAAAATGTACTATCTCCACTTTACTAGGTACTTATACACAGAAAAATGACTAGAAATACACATAATTATGGGTACCTTTAATTTTGTTCTGGTAATTGTTAGTCTTCACAATTTTCTATATATTTTATATTAAAAGTAGGCTAGAAGTTTTACAAGAAAGCCATTACAGGTTGCAAAGTAAAGCTTTAAACACAGCTGTAAGTGATTTTTTAACTAGTAAAAGCTGTCTTTAACCCTGTGACTTAATTCATTTTACCTCCCAAACTCAGGCTTACCTCATGTCTGAAAACAAAACCTACGATGGCAGCGACCAGTTCAACCAAAAAAATGAGAATTAGAAACATTGCATACTGCAGGATAAAAAGAAAGTCCAAGTCAGCATAAATAAGATACATCACAACTGCAAAGGGAGTCAAAGGGGAAAAGATGGTCTGTTCAATCAGCGTGGATTTTTGTTGAAAAGGACAGGGAAAGCACAATAAAAGTGGTAATTGGCAGATTAATTATTACTTGGTAAGTTTTCATAAGGAACAAGAAAAATCTTAAAAGGCCATGGCCAGTTCCAAGAAATAAGATACATGTAAAACTTTTCAGGAATCAAGAATCAATTCTAAGGAATTGTAAAACTTTTCAGGAATCAAGAATCAATCCTAAGGCAAATAAGGACTCACCAGTTTTAGCATCCACGCAGAAGCTCGGCAGGTAGCAAAACAGCCAAAGGTACCCAAAAGAATGATGACAGTGCCAGTGCCAATGAGCACAAAGGGAACATTGGTGGCCTTCTCATTTAAAAGAGAAAAATAATTCTCTAGGCTCACCTTGCCCCAAATGCCAATGGCAAGAAGGATTACACCAGTGATCTACATGGGAAATCAAAGAATATAAAGTTAAACACTGTATACTGAAAGTTATATACTGTATATTCCAACCACAAACCACTGGGTATCAAAGAAATAATAGGTGTGACAAATAATTTAGCAAGTCTGTGGCCACAGATCAGTGGCTGGCATAGGACAGACAAGGTGGTGCATAGAAGGGGATAGAAAGAGGATCTGCACACAAGGATAAGCCTTGATAAATCCACACACTGCATCATCAGATAGCCCAGGTAGCCAGGGTAAAGCCAGGGGTCAACAGAGAAGGCACCTTCATAAAAATCCTTAAACTTTACCTGCTGTGTGTGTGTGTGTGTGTGTGTGTGTGTGTGTGTGTGTAAATACAAGCCCAGGGCATATTTGCCCTAGGGATCAAAACTTAACTATTTAACTCTCGCCTTAGGAAAACCTTCCCGGAGGAAAAAGTCTTTATGCATTCCAGAAATCTTACCCTTCCCCCAAGTTTCGAGATGAGCACAAAGGGATAGTACACAAAAGCAAGCCTAAGGACAGACTGGCAGGAGTGGGGCGATTACCATACTTACTTGTGCAATAGTCCCCTCTTAGGAAGGGGGGGTGTGGGTGGGTGAGGGGGGGTGGGGGGGTGGAGCGTGTGTGTGTGTGTGTGTGTGTGTGTGTGTGTGTGGCAGAGACAGACAGACAGACACTATTGTGCAAGCAAGCTCTCAGAATGGCCGGGCCAGCCCTGCCTCTACAATGGTCCGGGGACACCCTCTGCATATTCGAGGCTGGTTAACTCCCTTCCTCGCACCCACCCCACCCCCAGGGCCCGCAATGCTAGGTATGTCTGGGTCCCAGTTCAACCTACCAGCCGCCGTCGTCGCACCGCAACCCTGGCACTGACGAGATATCCGAGCTAGAGCCCCAGCAGCTCATCGTCAGTGCTTGAGTCCCACAGCAACCTCCACTCAAACCTCTCCACCCCGTGCCTCCTTTCGAACCCCGGATGTAAGCTCTCTCCGCTCAGGTTTACACCCCCAACCCAGGCCCAGGATCCCCTCCAGTCCCTGGGGGCCTCCCTCTCTCACCCAGAAGATGAAAGTGTAGATCAGGAGGACGCTCTTGAAACAAGTAATGACTGGTTTAGTCTGCAGTCTACGAGAGGGGGACGCCATGACTAGCCCACGAACCTGCCCCGCCGCACAGGACAATCAGACAGAAAGAGGCAAGAGTGGAGTCCCCGAGCTTCCCCGGAAACTGCCGAAAACTTACGAGCGTCCACAACTGAGGAGAACCGGAAAAAACTGTTCAATTTTCTAGAGGGTGGAGTCCAGGAGGCTGTCTAGAAAGTGACGACAATTTCCAAGCGCCCCCGTGCCGAAGGCTACTGAAAAGCTATATACAAAAGTTGTAACGTCGGGAATTTCTTAGATCTTTCAGTGGACGTTGCTTCCTTTTTTCACTAAGAATCTTTGCTGCCCCATGTCTGTCCTCCGCCCGTATAACTTCACATTGTTTCTGTCACCAGCAGCGCTTGTGCTCTGAGATTCCGTCTCATCGGCCCCTAGTGCCCCAGAAGGAAGGAAAGTAATAGAAAAGAGGTTAAAAGTGACCTGATTACATTGTATTACAAGGCAAGATACCCAGAAGAAATATATTTCCAAAGAGAAACAAAGCGGACTGCAAATCAATAAGTACAGTCACATGTTTTGAGACAAAAACTGAAGGGGGAAGTGCATTTTACTTGAGCCGAGGGATTAGGCTGATTTCTTTCTCACTTGTCCTGTGCTTTTCAATTTTTGAACATTGTTTTATGCGGTAGGGAGAAGCCATAAGAATGAATGTATTGTGAGAAACGATCACTTGAAAGAATTCCAAGCTAGGTATTACAGATTAATAATAAATTTTAAAATTTCCTCTTCTCATTTATCCTTTAAGTATGTAATTGGAAAGTTGAGGGGTGTTTAAAAATAATTAATGCTGAAAAAAGTTCTGCTACTAGCTGCGAACCTTTCAAAAGGGAAGGTGCTACAGAGAATGTCAGTAAATTTGACCCCTTTTTAAATGTTACCGGTAAAACCGAGAGGCACTGTATATCCCAGTCCCAGGTTTTTCAGATTAAGAGCCAGCAGATCACAAAGAGGCTGAAATCTAAGGTCACACAGCTAAGAGCAAAACCAAAACTAGAAATTACTGTGCTAGTATTTTTTTCTTTGAAATTGTATGTGTGGGGAGCTCCATGTACCCATGTTATGCATCGTGAACAGGTGAGTCTATATTGTTACAGCACAGAGTATGCACTAAGGTCTGGTTTCTCAACTAAAGTGTAAACTCTGAGAACAGAAACTGAGAGTCTAGTGAGGACATGTTATTTCTAAGAGGATGGGATTAAAAGACCATATTGATTGCCTATCCAACCCATTATATCATCACTGAAAAAAGCTTAATATCACAAATGGGCATTTAGTAGTATCACTGTGGCAAAAAATAAAGTCTTGCATTACTGAAATAGAGGTGAATGCCCAAACATTTTCGCTTGAAACCTTGCTTTAAACGTATACTACAGAAACAAAAAAAAAGAAAAGTTCCATTTACTTGGTCACACAGAGCTTCCCTGTGCTTCAAATATTGACCTAGGACCGGTTCCTTTTAGTATCATGCCAGATGTCTGAGCTCTAAGAGAGCAACTATTGGAGAATGAATTACTGTACTGTCAGGCTTTACGCTAAAATTTTATCCTAAAATTAGAAAAGCCTAACACATAAATACATGGAGAGAATGGGGGAAATGATACACCAATACTGTTATTAGCATTAAGGCAAGGTCATCAGGAAATATACATCAACTTTTCAATGACCACATATGTCATAGCTACAGGAAATGTGGTTTTAGGGGGACTAAGTATATTAAAAAGCTTTCTTCTGAGGCTAGGTAACACTCTTATAGAGGTTCTCCTATTAAACAAACAAGTATCAAGGAAAGTCTTGCTAACTCCTTATCATCTTAAGTGGAAGTTTCCTGTGAAATTTAGGCTTGTACTGTGTCCTGCAAGGGATTTTCATTGTGAGCCCCAGAGCAAAGACATATTTTTGTGGCTGACGAAAAAACAAAATAGTCAAAGCAAAAGCTACATCTTATTTCCAAAAATGTGTTGATTTTCTTCCTCTCCCTTCCTCTGCCACTCACAACGCTGCTTTGTTTGAATAACAGCCAGTGCCAAATTAAACCAGAGGATGACATGGAATTTCATATTCCTATGGCTGCAACAACCTTGCACCCCTGCCTCCCACACTGCTACAGCCCCCTCCACCCTGCCATGCCACCAAACCCAGAAATTCAATTTAGTTCAAATTTAGTCCTGGGATTTGGTCCAAACACAGATCATAAAAGCATATAATCACATTTAAGGCAATGTAAGAGGTAATTCTCTAGGTCAGAAGACAAATTTATTATTTAAAGTATTAGTGATGACTGTAACATTGAGTATTGCCTATGTACCAAACACAGTGGCTAAGCGCTCAATACTTGTCACTTCACGCATACATCACAAAAGCCATTATTGTGATGTCAAGACTACTACTGGCAGCAGTTTACAGGTGTGGAAATGGATTCAGGGAGGCTAAGTAACTTGCCTAGGACTAAGCCCTGCCAACTTCTGTTTCACTCATCAGAAATGGGGCCCACTCTGTGATGAGGCATGACTGCCATTGTGCAAATAACTGTCTGGGGTGGGAATAACCTTACCAAAGACTGCTGTACTCAGACACTCAACCATGAGCAAGATCTCTTCAGAGCCCCTGAAGTGCAACAACCTCAATCATTTCCCCAATTTTGCCTTATATTTGAAGTTTTATTTTTTTTGTTGACTTTTACTTTTGCCTTCACTCCAATAGCGCGAACACCAAAAAGTTATCCTACCCATCCTAGAGTGGCATGTAGAGAGCTCAATACATTTTCTGGTTCAACCTCTTAATATCTCCCTCTTCCTGATTACAAAAACACACATTTGATCATGAAAATGTAGGAAAAAAGGAAAATGTTTTCTTAATTATTGTTGCTGCTTGTTTTACATTTAATATTTAGTAGGTATCTTTGTTCCTTTCCAATTAACTTCTGTAACCTTGGAGATTAAGCATTTAAACTATGCTTCTTTGGCATTTAAACTATGCTCCCCACAGCAAATATGAAGTCAGCTTATATCCTACTAGTTTGCCAACGTTAAATTTCTGTTCGACAATAGATACAGTATGATTAGCTCCCTAATACATAAGATGTTCCCTAATCTCTTCAACATCTCCAACCTCATTCCAAATTTCTGGCCCCTACTTCAACTACTTAGGGTTCAGGTCAAGCCCAACTGAAAGAGATTGTCTTTCCTCCACCACCTAACACAACTCCCCTCTCCCCAAATTCCCTACCTCCTCCCCACTTCCCAGCTCTCCTTACCACCCCCCCACTCTCTCTCCATCTCCCCTACCCCTTCACCCACCCCCCACACAGTGCTCGTAGTCTGACTACTTACATTAACTCAGACTCTTAGTTACTATGGTACCCAATACTTGCTTTCTTTTCTGCTTACCTGTTTTATATCCTGCTGTATACATGTTCAGACACTACTTGAAGAGCCAGTGTGGCAGGCTCGTGTGCCCCTTTCATACTCTCCCCAACACCCTAGGACATAATGCTCAAGTGATGAGCTCGTTTGGTGCTCAGCCAATCCCTGTTGAGTTCACTGATTACAGCTGGTCTGTGAGGCTAATCATTTAATAATGACTCAAGGTTTGATTTATTAAATTATATTAAAAACCTAAATGTCTAAGCTGTCCCAGTATCACACTGCTATAAAGCAGAAATATTAAGTTGAGCTGCTGCATGTCTTGGAATATTACTATCCTCTGTCTTAGGAAACAATAAAAATGTATCAAACATTTTACTCACAATACATGTTATCTCTTATTCATATAATGACATTCACCATTTTGATTTTCTAACACCTTTTCTAGTATCTTTTCACTTACCTTTGGCTAAATGCCTATCATAAAGTTTCGAAGCACCTCCCACCTATTAAAACCTAGTTTTACATCACTGCCATCAGATAAACATCATTTAAACACACAATTTAAACATCATTATTTTAGTAGATAATTCATATGTACAGTTTTAAAAATTAATTTCCTGAAGAGAAATATCCTTTTATTCCCATTGCCTCTTATGTATTTTCATTATTTTTTTCTGAAATTCTCTTCTGTGTCTATTTGGGACACATATAAATGAGAAATATTCTTGAATGATATTAAAATTCACAATTCCATGTCAATTTGCCTTAGTTCACTTTCTACAAAAGTTTGTTTCTAGTCTAGCCTTGTTAAGCTTTGATGAGATCTCAGCTAGGCAAGTCAGTTAGTGAGTAATATTTCTTAAAACTATCTTATTGACTGCTGAGGGGCTTCATATTAAAAGTCTTGTAGTTAAAAATGATATTGAACTTTAAGAACTTTAAGAAATTTATATTTATATGTATCAATGCTGTCAGTGTCTTTATTGTATCTTCCCAATCAAATCATTTGGACAGGTGTTTTATTTAACTTTATATCTTACAGTGTCTAACATAGTGTTATTCACACATAGTATGTACTTAATAAATGTTGTTTGTTTGTTTTTTTTTAAATTATGACCACCTGTTTTGGATAAGATCTTTATATATATATATATTATGCTTCACAGAATATTGTCCCTGTTATCTCATTTATCTCCTTACTTTGTTTTCCCTATGATTTCCATATCCTCCCCCCTTCACTTTCTTCTTTAACCTCTCTCTGTCACCCCTCTGTCCTGCTCCTTCCAGCTCTAACTGGGATGTAAGATCTTATGCAGCATCCTCATCCTAGCATGTGCTAGGCTCTGTGTTTAGTGCTGGGGAAATGGAGAACACCCTATTCACAATCTAGTAGGGGACATAGTAGAGTCAGAGATGAAAAGACTAGTATATATAGTAGGGAACAGAGACTATCAGAGGTGAACAGTAAGTGTGATAAATCGTATAATTGAGACATATACACAGTGATGTGATAAAAAAGGAACTTGAAGTAAACCAGCTCTGGCTGAGTTGAGTTAAGGGCAAGTTCTGAGCAGCAAAAATAAATATGGTTTCCACAGACCAGGAAAGGAGGGAAAGGAATACAAGATAGAGCAAATATGTCTGTTCAAAGGCACTGAGGTGTGAAAGGAAGAGCAAGTGGTTCAGTGTGTCCAGAATGACAAGTCATGGGGTAAATATTTAAAACTAGCCTGAGAACATAGGTGGGGTCTGCTCATGAAGGATTTGGTATGCCATGCTAAGAGTTCAGTGTGTACTCTTTGCCAAGAGGGAGCCAGTGAAAGGGTTTTTCTTGTTTGTTTGTTTGTTTTTAGCAAGAAAGCAACCCTGGTAAAATTTATTATTCCTTGTCTCTCTCAATTTCTCTCTCTCTCTCTCTCTCACACACACACACACATTTAATATATTCACTATTTTCTAACACATACTTAGAGTGAATACATTTTGACTTCAAGAGCCCCACAATCTGTCCCTACCCCATTTATTCAACTTTGTTTCCTACCACTCCCCTGAACCCTCTAATCAGTTAGGTCAGGCCCCTCTGACCTAACTATGAGCTTTTGTTTATGTCATTTCCCTTTCCAGAGAGTAGACCAAGGACCACCTCTTCCCACAGAGTGCTCAGGGAGTCTTCATGGTCTATATCACATATTCTGAAACTTTATATGATCTTGTACTATTTTCTAATTATTTGTGTCCCCCTTCTCTCTGCTACTAAATGTAAACCTTCTGGAAGCTGGAGAGTAAGCTCCTTAAGATCAAGGATCACAGAGTTCTTACCACTATCTGCACAGGTCTTAGCTTATAGTAGATGCCCAATGAAGGTTACTTCCCTAAGCATGAACAATTGTAACCAAGAACATTTTTGTTCAATATATGTCCCTTCCATTCCATAAGGCCAAGAGTTTTTGTCTTTCTTGTTCACTGATGTTTCTCAAGGACCTAGAAGAGTGTGTGGCATGTAATAAATGCTCAATAAATAGTCATTGAATTAATTACTGATTAGGATGTCAGGGATTTTTGTCTACTGTTTTTAACATAGTAAGTGCTTAATAAATTTATTGAATAAATGAGACCAAGATCATACTTTCAGCTTCATTATTCCACTGTCACTATTGAACACATGGTAGACACACAATACATATCTATGATTTGTGGATTAGAAATGAAACAAATTTGCTTGCTACTGAATTTTTGTTCTCATAAGCACGATTCTTCCCTTCATAACTGAAAAGTGTTTACAAATTTGCTTGCACACACAGGGAGGAAATCCTTTCTACACCACTTGAAAATACTTTTATGATGACCAGATTTTTCAAGGATGGAAATGTCAAGTCTGAAGGAGAACATAAAGAGTTGGCCTGCACTATGGTAGAATAGCTTCATTACCAGATACTAAAAAGAAAGCTTGTTTAGTGAAGAGAAACATAGCCCTCCATCACAGGTCACTGAGAAACAGCTTAGTAATGGCTATAATCTTGCCATGCATAGATCATCTAGATTTGCTTAAACAGCCTTCAGATAAAGTCTCTCTAAGAATGCTTTCCCTTCACTCTTGTTACAGGAAATCAGTCTTCATTCTTCATGGTGTTTTTTGTAAACAACATAATCTTATCAGAAACTGAAGTCCATGGAAGTTAGGTAATTGGCGCTAGAGTTTCAAAGTGTGTGTGACCCTGTACATATGGATGACAGGGCAACTAAAGAATTACAAGGAACTCTCCAGGGACTGTCAGAGTCAGCTATGTTCTCTTCTTCTTGGAGTTTGGGAAATTCTTTTTAATTCAATCTTGATGTCATGCTGAGTCATAAAAAGATGTGTTTTTCAGTGCACCACATCTCTCTGGAGTCCCTTTAGCCAGGCTGTTAGTCATTACTATAAGCACGGGCATGGGGCCAGCGCCATTCACACTTTCCCCTGTTCTGCAGCAGGCGGACGCAGTTCCTCTAATCCTTGTGTTCCTTCTCCCCAGCCTCTGTAAAACCCTTCTCTGAGGGAGAAACAACCATAGCTTGGGAGCTAATATAGCTTTAAGGAAACATTTGGCAGATGCGGATGTCCTAACATCTGGGCAGTTTTAACAGGATCCCGGAGGCCCGGACAGACCACAAGTCACTCGTTCTAGGAATGTAAAAGTAGAAGTTTTTTCAACTGATGAAAGAAGCAGAGAAGAAGGAGAAAAAGAACCAAGAGAGAAAAAGAGAGCACAAAAACCTATTAAACAGGTAAGATCTGCTGCTTAATCCCCTACACTATACAACCCCTACGTCTCAACCATGGGGGGTAATGAAACCCATGGCATGGGCAACATGGCTGAGGGTGAATAGAGAGAAAGAAGTTCTTTTATGAAACTGGGTTATATGCTGCTGTTCACTTGAGCTGTGACCTGCCTGCAGACGCAGGTTCCCACCACCTTCCAGATGCTTAGTAGAGAGATGGCTGACTCTGTGAGTCAAATTTTCAGCCTGAAATTGTAGAGGAGGTGGTCAGAGAAGTGGTGACAGTTTCAGAGGACCAGGTCTGGAAAAGAAAGCCCTTGATCCTAAAGCAAGAAATTGCACTAAAGCCGCATGTGGGAGGAAGGTCCAACGATTAGTTTATCTAGCTGGTCATTTCCCTGAATCTCTGTTTAAACTCTTATTATTTTGTTCCCTCTTTCTGCTTTTATCTTTCCTTCAGCTTCTTTTCTTTCTAGCTTCCTTTGCACATCTTTTCACTTTCCTTGCCCCCCTCACATGCTCTCATTTTTTCTCCATTTGGCTTCCTTGCCACTATTTAGAAAAAGTCTGAAGTTAAATAGCAATAAATTGGAAAACAAATTTGTGCTATTATCGGGCTTCACATGTCCCTTGGGAACTCTGGCCATAATCTGCCATCGTTTTGTTTCCCCATTTCTGAGACTGACTCCTCCCCAAGCATGGCATTTCCTTGAAAGTATACAGGTGAATAGGTGCTTACTGAAAAGTCCAGTGGCCAGTTTATACCAATGGCAAGCAAGTTTTAATACTGTCATTTATGAGGTATTTGCCTACTTGGAACCACAAAACTCAAATCCCATTAGAGTGAGGATAGGACAGGAAATAACAGGGCAATTGGTGCTTGCTCACCCTCTTCTCACATACCTCAATAGGTTCTTCCCAACCTCACTTGACTTCCTGCTGGCTCAGCAGAGTAAAATTAGAAGGTTAGGTTGTACTCAAAAACCAAAAGCCAATACCAAACCACTAAGCTTCAAAAACCAAAGATAAGAAAATTAGAGGATATTTTCTACCCTCTAAAGATAAGAGATATACTGTCCTATCCATTACACAGTTGGTAATAATAGCCAATAAACTAATATATATTGATTGTTTCCCTGTGTGACAGGCAATAATCTATTCTATATGGTAGATACTATTATTCTCATTTTATAGATGAGGAAACTGAGGCTCAGAGAGGTTAAAGAATCTGCCCAAGATTTCATAGCTAATAGAGACAGAATTGGACACATATTCAGATGTGTATAACTTCAGGGTTCAAGCTTAGTACATTCAGGCTAGTGCTTTCTCAAATTAGTCTTTAGGAAAAAAAAAAAAAGCTAAATGGAGGAAAACACCAACTGGCAGTCTTTAGATCACAGGATTTGATCTTGATTCTCTATGACTTTATGTTGGCCCTTTCTTGGTCTTGGTGCCTCAGTGTTCCTCTCTATAACTTGGACCATGGAACATTTGCATCTGATCTCACCAGAGTCGACTGAGAATTGATTGTTTTACATCCTCCTACTTCTAGGAAGAAAAAGAGACCATATATAACAAATAGAGTCTTGTTATTCTATAAAGTGAAGATTCTTTTTTTTTGCACTTTTTCATATTGTTGAGGTTTTCATTAAAGTCACTGAGCATCCTTATAACCAGTGTTTTGAACCCTGCATCTAGTTGATTGCTTGTCTCCATTTTGTTTAGCTTTTTTTTAATTTTTAAAATTTTTTAATTTTATTTTTTAAATGAATTAATTTATTTTTTCAAATACATTTGTCTCCACCTTCCCCCCACCACTTTACCCTCCCCCCTCCCTCCTTCAATCTTTCCCCATTTTGACTTTGTCCATGAAACCCTGGGATAATATAGCAGGCATTCATTAATTTAAAAATCTCTCTTCTTCCTTGCAGATCCCACATTTCTGCTTCCTCTCACTTTGGGAAGCTAACTGATGGCTGATTTATGAAATTTATTTTTTTTTGCCCTGGCATTTCTGGCCACGTACCCCTATTCTTTCCTCCCTAATAATCTCTACCTCTTAAAAGGATGACCGGTCAAATAACTCAAAGAGGAGCTCTCTCTCTGCTGCTCTTCCTTGCTCCAGCAGTGGCACCAACATGGTACACAGGTAAGTTCTAGGAGCTGTGGCCCATTATTTCCAGGAATGGCAGGGCCGAGACCAAATCTTAGAAATGGGAAGAGTTAGACTGCAATGAGAGACACTCAAATTAGATAAAAATAAGAACTATTCAACAACAAAGATGGTTAAACATTGCAACAGGCTACCAAAGGAGGCTTTTGAGGCAAACTAACAAGAGATATTTAAAAAGAGGCTACACCAGCTAAAAATGAGTAGGTTGGACTAGATGGCTTTTGAGGCCATTGTCCTCACCTGCTTCTGCACTTTGCTTTCTCCCTCCCTCTCTCTTCCCTCCTCCCTTCTTCCCTTCTTCCATCTCTCCCCTAGACCTTATTTATAGGATTATGTTTTTATATCCCCTTTGTGCCAGAACTATTAACAACAATACGGATTTCATTCTCACAAAGGAATTTCCCAGTTTCTTCTGGCTTGTTCCTTACTTCAGAAGGGATGGAGAGTTGTGAATTCCTGAATGTTTCACCCTTTGCCCTTAGAGACATAGGGGGCTGAAAAGCACAAACTCAGTGAGGGGAGAGAAGAGGGGAAGGGGTGAAATGATGGAAACATAATTAAGGGGCAGACAGAGGTTTCTGATGGAGCCCAGTTGGCATTCCAAGTACTAAGAATATTCTGTGGCCTGCAGTGTCTGCCCTTATGGGGGCTGGAGGGAGTAGGGAGAAGAGACAGGCCCAACCACTGTAATTAGGAAAATATCCAGAGATGAGTAAATAACAAGCTGCTTCCATCACAGCCACAGTCATTGCAGCTAAAATTTTCCACATGTCCTGGGCTCCTGGTGGAGGCCTCTAGCAATAGCTCTGTTTGTCTGGAACAGCTACATGAAGCTTTCAAACAAATATGCAAGCTTATTCATCTCTTTGGCTTAATCTGGCTTTATAGGGGGTAAAGCACAAAGGGCTGACATTGAGATGAAGAAATTCAAGTCAAGCCCTTGGCAGAGTATATACTGTTTGGGGTTAAAGAAACCATCTTTCCCAAACTCCCCAAGTTACAGTTCAAGTACACAAGATCAAAATCCAAGAAAAAACTGTAGGACTTAGGAAGTAGAGATTAGATGTCTCAAAACTCAGTTATGAACAGCTGTAAGAAACCTCATGGAATACAAAGGCCTTTATCTTTTCCAGGGTGAAAGCCTGATCTATTGGAGTCTTGAGGAAAGGGCAATTTTATTTAAAGACTTAGATTCATCTGAAGTTCTCAAAGGGCTGTTTGCAAAAGTGGCACTTCCACTTCCGTAAGAATCACCAGGGTCACTACTTCTGAGGAGCCCAGGCTGTGAAATCTCTGACAGCCCTACATGCCCACTCATTCTCTCTTATTCTTTTCTTAGGAGGCTACATGATGAGAGAAATTTGGGATTTTCCGGTAATCCTTCCCCACATTGCTAGCTCAGCTGTCTGACCATGCTCCATGCATTTGTTCATTCATTTACTATATACACTATAAATATATGTACACATACAAATATAATATATACATACGTGTATATATATATATATATATATATATGTGTATATATATATATATATATATAAAGGGGCAAAAAAACTGTAATTTATTTATAAAAGAATTGTGTATTTATTTTTACATGTTTAAACTTCTGTCACCTTCAAAGTAATCTCCATTTTATACAATACATCTATCAAGATGTTTTTGCCACCACTCAAAATAGTTTTGGACTTGTAGATTTTTATGCCTTTTAGTGCTTCTGCTTTTTTTTGTTTCACCTCTTCCACATTGACAAAATGTTTGCCTTTGAGGACTTTTTTTCATTGGGGAAACAAAAAAAAGTTGCTTGGGGAAAGATCAGGTGAATAGGGAGAGTGCAGCACAGGAGTCATGTCGTTCTGGGTCAAAAACTGCTGAACACAGCTCAATGTGGGCAGATGCACTGGTAAATCACCCATCATGAAATGGGCAAACGTGTTGAAAGTCTTCGAAAAAAATTCACTGAAGCTGAATGCAACCTCTCACAACAGCAGCTGGTACCCTGCTGTTCCTAGGATACTCACCTAGTGTGGGAAACCTGTACTACAAGGCAACCACCCTCTAGAAATAATGCTGGGTTTTTTGGGGGGTTCCCAGCAGGAGTTAGGAAGGGTTAAGACTATAAATAAAGCAAACAGTGTGTTAAAGGTGGATATTGGAATACCTGTGCAGTCCAGGAAGTCAGACCATATTTGCTATTATAAGCCAAGCATTAGTGTGGACCTGAAAATAGTCTTCAACTGTCAGTTACATTTGTAACTGTAGCTTTGTGAAGGGCAGTGCTTGAGAAATGCTGTACAAACCTCTCTCCTCTGGGGCTGAAGAAGGACAAGCAGATAGAGCAATGTGGAAAGGGTGCCCTTGTAGTTATATCTCACCTTGTATTCTAATATTTGCAGAAAATACCCAAATATGAGCAGAGAGGGGAAGTGGAAATGCTTAAAGTTAGATGGCTTGGGCCCATTCCTGTCACAAAGCAAAGTTAGCACTGGTGCAGCTACCTTTGCACCCTGTTTGGAGACTATAATCATCTGGCTGAGTCCTCCTTTCAGCTTTCCCACATCCCTTGAAGTTCTGGAATGATGTAAAATGTTTGGTGGCTTTCAATCCCACATACCCAGAGTAAAAAAGCTGGATTACAAAAAGAGATTTTGAAATTTTAGCCCTGCTGGACATTGTCCAAAGTCCTCCCTACTGCTATCTTTAGTGGAGTGTCTGAATTTGGTATTAAGCAAATGAAACAGCTCTGGGCTGGAATGCCCACTCTACACCTTACTAGTTTGGAGACATGGGATACTCAATTCACTCCCCTGAGCCTGTTTCCTCATCTGTACATCAAAAAGAAATGCGGGTGTCAACCTCACTGAGATGTTTGGATGACATAATGAAATAACACATATAACGGACTGAAGAGAGAACATGTACTCAGTGATGTTAGCAGTCTTTGTTATCCAGCCATAGGCCTCTGTCACTCCTGCTTGCTCTTCCGGTAAACAGAGGCTTGCTCTCTGCTGAACCTTTCTTCATAAGCAAGTTCTGTAACAAGAGTGTGGGGACTGAATCCTTTAGGGAATCAGACACATCTGGCCTCCTGTTTACAGGAGCTGTAAGTCTTTGAGGCTATGCTAAACTGAAACAGCTGGTGAGATTTCAGCCCTCCACAGAAACTTCCCATGTGGGAAAAGAGAGCAAGCCTGAGGAGAAAATAGAAAAAGTCAAGGGAAAGAGAAAAAAATGAACCCTTTCCTCTGGAATGAGAGCAAACCAAAAGGATATGATTTCATAAGGCAAACTTTCAATTTGATTCATTCCCTTGTTCATCAAGTGGGACTGGTTTCCCAACACCCTCCATCCCTAATCTATGAGGAATAGAGGAGCTTCATCATCTAGCCTTCTGCTCCATGGTTTAGTGCAGGGGACCCTGAGCCGCTTCCCAGAGAAGAAGCAGGCATGCCTGTGGTCTGAGTGTTTACACAGGCCAAAGGGCTCCAGCAATAAAACCCAGCCCTCTTCTGGAAGCACACTCTCTTCTGGAAGTGAAGAATTGCTTTCTGACTCTAGAATGGCTTGTTGCTTTATTCCTGTGCATGGATTAGGACTCAGGGAGGCTGTAAGGAGGGCTTCCTGAAACTTCACTCCTGAAAAGACCAAGTCGTATTCCAATTAGTTTGTGTTCGTGACTGATTTCCTGCCACCTGGTGGAACACACTTTTTAGTCTCCCAGACAGCCGCAGATCTGCCAGTACCAGGGAATGAGCCACTTAACAGAATTGGAATGGACTGGGAATATTATCCAGCTCATCAACTCCCCACTAAAGCTCCTGCTGATTAGAGGAACCAGAAATTTCTCCAAAGGACTTTGCTTGCTTTTTCCTCCAAACCAGGACAAACCACTCAGGATGTGAAACTATTCTCATTTCCCCTGGCCTTTTTAGCCCTCTCTATTTGCACTGGCATGGCTATGGCAACTTAGCAATGGCAACCAGGTGGCAAAAAGCTGGTGCCCTGTGAGCTAGTGGGAGGTTAAGGAATCATTTCCTTCTGAGGACTGTGAACAGGCTTATCACCACTGGAAGGACCCTAATTCAGGCTCTATTTTTTCCTTCTACCTGAGACAACTGTTCAACCTCAGAGCTTAGCAATCAACAGCTCACCAAGACTGTGCTGCATCAAGGAAATGGGTCATTTGTAGTCCAGATTGGTGGAATTGATGAATGGTCAAGAAGTTCGTTTTTTTAAATGGAGGCTTCTACTTCTACCAGTACCATACCACCCCACCCCACTCCAGGAGCTCTCCCTTAATGCACCTGAGGTATTGAGGTTTGCCCACAAATAGTTCTGCTGCTTTACAAGGTAGAATTTTCCCCATTAAACATCCACATGGCTCTCCAAACATAGAATGCTCAGTAAGATACCAAGTTGAAAGGGGGAAAGGTTAGTAAGGACTTGAGTATGAAATCAATATGTCATCTTGATATTGTCTTATTCACTATAGGTTCAGGCTACAATCCAGATGAAAGCTACAATGAAGTATATGCTGAAGAGGTGCGACAGGTACCTGCCCTAGACTACCGAGGTAATCCTCAGTGCTTCTCACGCTCAGAAAGGGTCTTTTCTGGCCTAAGGCCCAGGTCCTCCCTGAAGCATCCTTATCCAGCTTGGCTTGTATCTGCCAAAACTTAAGCTCAGGGGATCAGAAGCTGTTATTTCCAATCTTGAACTTGGTTACTGACTTGCTGTGTCACCTCACCTCTCTAGCACTAAGGTTGCCTATCTATTGTTAGTCATTAAGTATTGACTGAGTCCCTCCTGTATATCTGAGTCCTGTGCAAAGTAAGCAGTGGGTGATACAAAAACTTGTGGTCCCCCAAGGAGCTTACATTCTGCTGGGGGAGGAATTATTGAATGGGCAATAAAATGAGCACATGTAGAGCAAGTAAGTATGAAACTATGGCAGGAGTAAGTGCAATAGGAGTTAAGGAAAAGAAGTCGGGGAAAGGATCATGAAAGATGACATTTAGAATAGGTCTTGAATTTTGGGTAGATTTTGAGAACTGTAAAGGGAAAGGGAGGGCATTCAGAAAAGGAGATGGCCATGGATACAAAGGTAAGAACGAACCTCTCAGAGAAAGGAACTGACTGAAGGGGATGGGATGTGGAGGAAGTAGTAGAAAATAATTTGAATATAAAGAGTGAGACCAATCTAGGGAAGGCTCCATGATCTACAGACTCTTCTAAGGAAGGGCAGGAGGACTGTCTGTGAAGAAGGCTGGATAACTATTCCTATGCTAGAAGGAAAGGTGCTATCTAATATCCCTTACATTTCTAAGATTCTCGTTTTTATGCCTTGCAAACCATGCAGAAGACTGTAGCTGTTGTACTATGAGTTATAAAGAGCCATCAATCATATGTGTTTCCCAGAGGGGTGACATTTCAGACTATTAACTTTATTATTGTTTGTGTTATTGTGTACAGAAAGTAGGGGTTCAGGACAGGTAGAGCCTGGGTCAAGGAGACTCTCCAGGGATCAGTAACAGGGTAGTGGCAAAGAAATGGAGGGTAAGGACGAACCCTAGAGATGTTTCAAAGAAAAAGATGGCAAGCCCTGACTGGTGTGGCTCAACTGGTCAGGCGTTGTTCCACAAGGCAAGAGGTGACTTGGTTTGATTCTCAGTCAGGACACATGCCTGGGTTGTGGGTTCAGTCTCTAGTCAGGATACATGGGAGAGATGAAAAATTGATGTTTCTTTCACATCTATACTTCTCTCCCTCCCTTTCTCCCTCCCTTCTCCTTTTCTAAAAATAAATAAATAAAATCTTAAAGAGAGAGAGAGAGAGCAGGACTTGGTACAGATTTGATGTACCAGAGGCTAGGAAACAAAAGGATGTCTGAAAGCATCCAGTCTAAATACTTGGGAGAACTCTATAGCCCTGCTTTTAATAAGGTTAAAAAAGAAAACTGGTTTAGTGAATGTGCACTACAGGCTGTGGGAAGAGGAAAGATGGAGCTTTGTGAGCCATCAGCTTAGATGGATGAGCTGTCTGAAGTAACAGAGGACCAATGTCAGAGCCTTAGAAGACATCTACAGATGTCAGTAGGACAAAAGGAGCCAACAAGGTAAAAAGAGACAGTTAATGGTCAGCCATGTAGAAGGAGATCAAGATAAGTATCTATTATACTACAGAAGCCATCGGAAAAGAGGGTTTTAAGGAAGGGGAAGTGATAAAAGGTCCACTGGGTCAAATATTGCAGAGACAAATTGAGGGTGCTGAAAACATTATATTTGGCAAGAAGGTAAATGACAATCCTTGAGAAAATAGGTTCAATCAAGAAATTATCAAAGCTTTGGGCTCCTGTGTGCTCCTTTCTTGTCTTCTACCTATGTTCTCACTGCCAAATGCTCCACACCTACTGCCTCTCAATCTCAGCACCCACTAATTCCTAAACTCCTTATAGTCTGTTTCCACAAATCACCATGCTTTAAATAACATACCTTGAAAGTCACTTTATCCCAAAGCCCAAATCATATGGCCCTTTCTGGCATTTAAGTATCCCTAGCCTCTCAGCAGTAGCACACCCACTCTTCTCAAGCCTCCTTCCTTGTGTTCCATGAAATTTAGCTATTCTGGTTACAGCTGAAGACAAGAAGGGAGATGGGCTCGGTAGCTGTTACAAAAGAGAGAATCAGGCATGGATCTGAACTTTGGGCGACCCTGACTTGTCTCCTGAACTCCTGAACTACATCTCCAATTGCTGCTGGACACTTCCATTTGGATATATCTAAAGCCAAATTTTTTCATCTTCCCTGAAAAAGGCTCTAACAGATGATCTTCCTACTTTTGATAATGGTGTCATCATTCTCCTAAAATTACCTCAATCACCCTGGCTGAGTGGCTTAGTTGGTTGGAGTGTCATCGCATACACCAAAAGGTTTTAGGTTCAATCCCCAGTCAGGGCATATACCTAGGTTGCAGGTTCGATCTTTGGTCCGGGCACACAGGGGAGGAGGCCAACTGATGTTTCTCTGTCACATCTCTCTCTCTCTCTCCCCATCTCCCTTCATTTTTCTAAAGATTTTTTCAAAATACCTCAATGACACCTTAATTAGCCCATGTCATCTTTAATAGCCCCCTTTTCCTCATCACCTCTCACTAGTCATTCATCAAAAGATGTCATTTCTAGGGGAAGAGCTGAGGGAGGGAAGGAGGGAGGGGGCAAGGGAAAGTGGTGGGGGGGAGGCAGAGACAAATGTATTTAAAAACAAACAAACAAACAAACAAACAAATAAATGCTTGGGGGGAAAATGATGTCATTTCTTTTTTTAATAAATAAAAAGTTTATTTTATTGATTATGCTCTTACAGTTGTTCCAATTTTTCTTTCTTTACCTTCTTCCACCCAGAAACCCCCACACCCTCAGACAATCCCCACATCACTCTTCATGTCCACAGGTCATGCATATAAATTCTTTGGCTATTCCATTTCCTGTACTGTACTTAACATCCCCATGACTATTTCATAACTACCTATTTGTACTTATTAATTCCCTCACCTCTTCACCCATTCCCCCATACCCCACTCCCATCTGGAAACTATCAAAATGCTCTCTGTATCCATGATTCTGCCTCTGCTCTTTGCTTAGTGTGTTTTTAGATTCAATTGATGATAGATATGTATTTATTGTCATTTTAATGTTCCTAGTTTTTATCTTATTTTTCTTAAATGTCCCTTTAGCATTTCATATAATAATGGTTTTGTGATGGAGAACTCCTTTAGTTTTGTCTTGTCTGGGAAGCTCTTTATCTGCCTTTTGATCCTAAACGATATCTTAGCTGGGTAGAGCAACCTTGGCTGTAGGTCCCTGATTTTCATGACCCGGAACATTTCTTGTCAATCCCTTCTGGCCTACAAAGTTTCTTTTGAGAAATCAGCTGACAGTCTTACGGGAATTCCCCCATAGGTTTCTAACTGCTTTTATTGCTGTTTTTAAGATTCTGTCTTTATCTTTAACCATTGGCATTTTAGTTATGATGTGTCTTGGAGTGGGCCTTTTTGCATCCATCTTGTTTGGGACTCTCTGTTTCCTGGACTTGCATGTCTATTTCCTTCACCAAATCAGGGAATTTTTCTTTAATAATTTTTTCAGACAGATTTCAAATTTCTTGCTGTTTCTCTTCTCCTTTTGGTACTCCTATGATGCAAATGTTGGACCTCTTGAAGTTGTCCCAGAGACTGTTTATGCTGTCCTCGTTTTATTTGGATTTTTTTTTCTTTTTGTTGTTCTGCGTAGCTTTTTTTGGCTTCCTTATGTTCCAGTTCATTAATTTGATTCTTAGCTTCATGCACTCTCCTCTTGTTTCGCTGTAAATATTCTTTATTTCAATTACTATAAGCTTTGTTTCTGACTGGATCTATTTTTTAAAATCATGTTTATTCTATTACAGTTGTCTCAGTTTTTCCCCCTTTGCCCTCCTCCACCCATACCACCCCCCCACACACAGTCAATTCCCACTCTGTTGTCCATGTCTGTGGGATATTCATATATGTTCTTTGTTTAGTGCCTTCTCCTTCTTTCCACCATTGTCCTCCTTCCCCATCCCCTCTGGTCACTTTCAGTCTGCTCCATGTTTCCATGCCTATGATTTATTTTGTTCGTTAGTTTATTTTGTTGAATAGATTCCACTTATAGGCAAGATCATATGGTATTTGTCTTTCACAGACTGGATTATTTCACTTAGCATAATATTCTTCCATTCCATTCATGCTGTCGCAAAAGGTAGGAATTCCTTCTTTCCTTCTTTTATTTTTTAAATGCAGATTGATTTTATTTTTTATAAATGTCAAGAACCATTATAAGATATTAAAAAAATTAAATCCATTATAAAGTCTCAGCAATTAAAGCAACATGACACCAGCACAGAAATAATCAAGTAGATCAATGAGATAAAATGAACATTCTAGAACAAATGTATATATCTGTTTAACAATGTAATACATGATCAAATTGATATTTCAAATCAATGGGGAAAGTAAGGCTTATTCAACAAATAAGGTTCACGGACCACTATTACTTAAAATAAAACAAATATAGAGACCTATTTCACACATTATACAAGAAATATTCAGGTGAGTTACAAATCAATATGTAAAATCTAAGGAGATTTTGGAGATAATTCAAAATAATATTTTCTTACCCTGAAGTAACATATTCAAACTCAGAAGCTATAAAGTAAAATATTGGCAATATGACTATATTAAACATTAAGACTCTACAGTAATATACATATAAAAAAAGTTAAAGGACAAGTAAAAGAATAGGAAAGTATTTGCCACACATCTAAAAAAGGGTTAATAGTTTTTGGAGGGATTTGTTTGTTTGTTTGTTTTTCTTTTTAAGGCAACAATTCTACCAACATTTAATCAAAAATGGATAAAGAATATGAAAAAGTCATTTAAAGCTTTTTAAAAATAATAGAAATAGGCAAGAAACATACAAAAACAGGTTTAGTTTCAACAAATAATAAATTAACCATTAAAGTAACATGTCATTGTCACAATCAGATTACTGAGTATTAA